GAATCTTTCTCTCCGGGGACAAATACAAACACAGGAAAATTCCCACAGCCAGTGGGCAAATTTAAGAGGAAGGAAGCCTTGACTTCTGTTGGATGCGCAGCAAATCTGGCTATCCGAAACCTACCTTCTGCATTTAAAGAGAAACCATGAAAGTCTTCAAACAGATCCACAGTGGATGAAAACAATTACCCAGATTTAAAAGAAAAGGACCTCTGCTAGATGGGCAGGAGATGCAACTACCCAACTCCACCCTTCCAAATTTGAAGGCAAATTTGAAAGGATGCCAAGTATCCCCGAACTGGTGAGGAAGCTACCTAACTCAGTTGAAAAGCAGAGCTACTGAAACTAGTTGAATGCCTGTGAGTAAGGGTGTCCTCTGTTGATGTCTTTGAGTAAACACAGAGAAAGGTCTAGCAACAGGCAGAAAACTTTATAGGGAACAAAGTCCACACTCCTGCTGGGGATCTGGCTGGCCATTCTCATTTTTCCTGGCCTGTAAGGGAAAAGCATTAAGTTGCCTGATAAACCATCAGATGCATCATCTAGTTAATGAATTTCACAGCAGTGCAGCAGGAGTTGGTGAGCCATCAGAAAGCAGTAGCATTCCAAACAAAATGGGGCTGGTTGGGAACACACCCCTCGCCAAGGAAACAGAACAGGGAAGATCCATCGACATTTGACTGCCAAGCCAGTCAGCTGATGAATGTCTACCAGAAGATGGCCATGTCGGAGGGCAGGCAGGAGGAGCCGGGTGAAAAAGAGGGATGGGGGCTTCCCAGTTGAAACCTTGGCTGCCAGGCTGGCAGATACTAGAATCTGAAACACCCATTCTCATGAGCACCCTTTCCAAAGGGCATTTGGAGTTAGTAGCCACCCTGTTCAGAAAATTTGAAGAAATCAGTAAGAATGTGCCAAGATGCACCCATTGACACCTCATAATATGGGCGTGGGAGAATGCCCACCATTGAGTCAAAAACCAGGCCACTTGAGTCCTGGTATTGGCTCCACGTTTACTACCACAGTATAAATTAAATGATGAGGATAGGCTCCATTCCTAATTAACACATTTAAGAAGTGTACAAAGCAGGTGGGCCATGGCCTAACTCAACAAAATTGACCTTTTAAAAGGATTCTGTCATGTCCCATGATCCCCAGAGCAAGAGAAAACCCAGCTTTGTCATCCCAGATGATTTATGCCAGTATAAGATCAACTGTGGTGGAAAAGAAAATGCCCCAGCAACATTTCAGAAACAAAAACCTAAGTCATAGCTTGCCTCAACACTTGCTGTGTTCCTGGATGCCCTGATAATGTGCAGCACTAGAAAGAAATCACACTGGCGTGGGCAGAGAAGTGCCAAAAAGCTTTTTTTTATTAAATTGAAAGAAATCCTGGTGAATGAGCCTACTCTATTGACCCAGACCTCAGCTAAAATGTTAGAGTGGCCATCAGGCCGGTGACTGAGGGAGTAGGAGCCATCCTGCTGCAAGAAGATGATTATGAAATCGAGCAGCCAATTGCTTGTTTTTCAAACAAAAAGCCCGACAAACACCAGAAAATGCACTCCATGTTAGAGAAGGTTATCGTGGTCCTTCAGTATTTTGAAATCTGTTTGCCATGGGTCTCAAGGCGTCCAACTATACACAGACCAGAACCTTTTTGACAATTTCTAAAAGTGTAAAGCAACAAATATAAATTCCTACACTGGAGTTTGCATCTTTTACCTCAGGAAAAGTCACTTGTTTAGAAGGAAGATCAAGGTCATTGTTGACACTGTGTCCCGTTTGTAAAACCATAGAATGCAGCAGTGAACTTCATTGCACCCACTATTTGTGTGTTGGACTATCAAGATTAAATGAAAGAATGAATGTATAACCCTTTACTTCCTTTCTTCCTGCAAGCAAATCTGTTTAAAAAATGAAATTGTATTAATTTATCCCCCTGTGGCCAGAAAAGTGTCATACGAGCAAAATATGAAGGGAGATCGTATATTTGTTTTTAAACGTGATGTGCAGTTGTCTATTTTTAAAATGGATTCTTGCTGTACTGTCTTTAAATGGCTGCTATTGGCCACAGAATGTACAAGCAGACAAGATATGGATATTTCCATAAATTTCTAGTGGACAAAGCCAACCATTACTCTTGTGACTTGCTTGCCTATAATTGCAGGACACTGCAAACACAGCAAAATGGAGGGTGGAGACCTTCCATCTCCAAACCTGAGCTGACGATAACGGGAAAGTTATTGAACCTTGTTATGCCTGAAGTGGTGCTGATGGCCTCACTGTTATCCTTACAACATACAGTAGTTTTGACCAGAAACATTGAAGCTGTGTCATTAGGTTGAAACTGATTATCATAGAATTATATCACACAAAACGTTTTTGGTCTTTGAAGAGTTGTAATTGTACAGTTCTGAGCCCTTCTCTCAGTCTACTTTCTAACCTTGGAGCAAAGAAAACAAGCAACTCCAGGATCAGCTACAGGCTGCCTCTAATCTCCTTCGCCCTGCTTCTTGTACATGTTGGGAATCAAAGACAAAAGAAAGAGGATAATTTTAAGTAACACCAATTGCATCTTTTGCATGCTCTAAAAGTAAGCTAAATGTTTTATTTGCATCAGATTTTTCCCTTATTGTTTCAGATGGCTGAACAGCTGATGACTTTGGCCTATGAAAATGGAATAAACCTCTTTGATACAGCAGAAGTTTATGCAGCTGGCAAGTAGGTACATTGACCTTTGCAATCAAAGCAGTCAGAAATCATGTACTGATTAAGGAAATCTCTCTTTTTTAACATGAGGTTAATTATTGCCCAGCCTAATAACTTGGGGAAATAAAAACTTCCTAATTTCACTTCATTCAAGTATTCATCCTTTCATGAGATGTGGGCATTGCCAACAAAGCCAGCACTTTTTTTACCCATCCTAAATTGCTCTTTAACTGAGTAACTTGTTTGACCATTTAAGGGGGCTTTTGAGAGTTAACTACACTGCTGTCGGGATGAATTCGTATGTAGGACAGATCAGATAAGGGCAACAGATTTATTTCTCTAAAAGATATTAGTGAAGTATATGAGTTTTTACAACAATCTATGATTGGGTTTCATGGTCATCATTACTGACAGAAGCTTTTAATTCTAGATAAATTATTTTGAATTTAAATTCCACCAGCTGCCATGGTGGGATATGAATTCATGTCCACAGAGCAGTCGCTTGGGCCTCTGGATTACTAATTCATTGACATTACCACTGCACCACAACCTTCTCTAATGTATAATTTTGCTGCGAACAATGTGGGCATATCACGACAATTTATATATATTCCCATGGTTGAGCTACTTATTTATTGTTCTGAACTTTGCTTTGAAAACAAAAGATGTGCATTTACCAGAGACAATGTATTACAATTTTTTTTAACAAGCATTGATATGATATCACTGGATTAGCACAGCTGCTAACAAGTTTAAGTGTAATGTTAACCATGCTGGTCTCTTAATCAGTAACAGTTTGACATCCTAGTCTTTAATCAGCAAGTTGAGTAGAAAATGAAATGGCACAAAGATTAAAACTGAGAAAAGAAATCCAAAACACGTGGTGCAATTAAGGCACAATTTATTAAGGAATTAATGCACTGCCAAATCAGCTGAGTCACAAATGACCTGTTGTCTCTCTCAGCCTAACTCATTTCTATTTATACACTAATGTGTAGCATATTTTATAAGATTGGCTCAAATTTTCCAAGATGCCATTAAAAATGTTAAAATGCATATTGGCTGCAATTTTTAATTGTGTTAGAAATTATGAATTCCGTGTATTAGACTGTAAACATGTTGAAATTGCTTGTGAAAACTCTCCCTCTAATTTCTATCCTGCTGAGATCTCAGCAACAGTAAAAGCTGTCACCAAAACACACAGAGATCCACTTAAATATTATTATAAAGGTTAATCATCCTGGATTAACACCAGATTTACAATATAAAAGTGTTGGCACCATTACACCAAAGATGTTCTGGAGTGCTAGACAGTTGTTGAAAATAGGATGTAAATAGAAAGGGCTGGAGGGTGATTTGCGAGTATTTCATGAATTTATTGTGGTTTAGTACATTTTATTTACACTCTTGGTTTGGTTTTATGTCATGAGTTTTGTTGTTACTATATTTTGCTTTTGTCCCAGATATTTGTACATTCGCTTCCCTTTTGGGAAAACAGCTCTGTGCATCTTTTTTTTTGCAGTCAGTTAACTTACATTGCTTTCATTTTCACCTGAAGTGTGACCCAGCTGTTATGCAAAAAACTTTGCAGGAATCTGAATATCTACCCTATTGTCTATCAGAATTTTTCCAAGTTCCAAGCCTATCTACTGCCTCTGATTTCTCTTCTCTGTAGAGTTGTGCTTAACTTTCATCATATTTTGCAATCCGTTGTGACGAATATCGTGGGACATTCAGCAATTTTTACTTTAAATTACTTGCCAGTAAAGTCTGGAGAAACCGATTGCTGCTTGGATCCATCCTTGAGCTTGTGTCTGCTTCACATTAAAGTAAATAAATGGTCAGTAATTATAAAACACTGATTTTTGTACAATGTGAAATATGACATCAAAAGAAGCTTAACCCTAAAAGAAGGTAAAGGTTTGATAATTGTGGTAATTATCTAATGTACTGAGGGAAAGCTGTTAGGTGAACGGTCTCTTGATATATTCATAGATTTCCATATTAGTGGCTGTTCAAACTGTCAAGGCAACCTCTTACAGCCTTCAGTTTTCCCAGGGCAATTTCCCTAATACATTCATTAGAGGAAAATGAAGATTCATTTTAGGTGTTAGCCGTGCTGACTGCAGTTAATTAATTTCTAAAGGACTATTATTTTTTCTTATACAATACTGGGGAATAATTTTCAATGAATTGTGTGTATGGTGAAAACTTATGACTCATAACCAAAAAGATTTGATTTATGATTAAAAATTCTTCCCATGGGAGATGAAAACAGAAAATGCTTCAGAATGCTATTTGCAAAGAAAAGATAGATTATTGATTTGAGTAAGGCTCTTCACTTCCTGTGTGTATTTCTGGCATTTATGGTGGGAGGGGCTATTTATTAGGTATTATGTATTAAGTATTAGGTGAGGTCAGAGAAAAACGGAAGGTAATAAAACTAAATTATGTTTACTATGTATGTATATATGAATAGAGTATTGTTATTAAAGTTGGTGATTCACAGGTACAGAGAGAGATGCATGAAAATTTGATGATGTAGAGCAGGCTTGTTAAACAGATGGTCTTGGAGCCAGAATGTATTCTCTAGAGGCTGAAGAGCTAATGGATTTGAAATTTGTTGCAGGGCTGTTTGTCTAATGACAGGCCATTTCACTTTCACATTTACTGCTGACAGGCTCACTGTGAGACTGCCAGCAGCAAATGCAGGAGAGAAACGCCTCTTGCTCTCTCACTCATGCTCTCTCTCACGCGGGTTCTTGCTTTCATTCTCTCTCTCTCTCCTCTCTCACACTGTGAAGATGGTGGGGGGGAGAGAGTATGTGATCCTGAGAGTGAATTAGATACACATACACCTTGTCTGTCTCCTCCTGCTTTCCCTTCCCACAAACCTATCTTTACAAAGCAGGCTTGAAGAGGAGCGAAACCCAGGCTGAAAGGCTTCTGATCCTATTTGGAAAAATTGTATTGGCCTCCAAACATTAACTTTTTCTGTAACAAATGCTGTCAGACGTGCAGCACTTCCTGTTTTTGTTACTGATTTAAGGTGATTAGATTAGGAAACAACTGTGACAGACAGGAAAAACTGTGGCCTGAGAATGTGGTGGAGGCAGATTCAACTGTGACTTTCAAAACAAAATTGGATAACTAACTGAAGGGAAAGACATTACAAGCATATTGGGGGTGGAGTAGGACGAGACGCGTTGTTCTTGCAGAGAGAACTGACACAGATACAACAGGCTAAGTAACACCTTCTGAGCTATAACCATTGTATAATGCTATGGTTTTATGACCTCAATTAAAAATTATACTAGTGTGTTGAGCCATGATATACATTTGAGCATGATTTGTTTGATACAGCATTGTTGATATGCATATCCTCTCTTAACAGCCTGTAGATCTATCACGCAAGTCTCAGCCAGTTCATCCTGTCTTACCTGCACAAGCATATGGTCTCAATGTCACTGTGGTTTTGCTTTCACTGAAATTGTTCAGTGGGGAATAATTTTCAATGAATTGTGTGTATGGTGAAAACTTATGACTCATAACCAAAAAGATTTGATTTATGATTAAAAATTCTTCCCATGTGAGATGAAAACAGAAAGTGCTTTTGTAACATGTACATGTGAGTTGTTTGCCCTTCAACACTTTTTCTCTAATTGTTCACAATTTTAGCGTTGGATCATAGGAGTTCAATTAATGGAATTAGTTTTAATGCCAAAGTACATTGTTAACTTCTAAAAAGAAATCTGCACTGAAATTAAGTCACCACTCCTCTGTGGTGACCAACTGTCATCAGTTATTGTCGCTGTTCATCTACTGCCCTATTTTGCTGTGCACTTGAAAAATTCAGCTGGAGCATAAATTAAGTTTGCGTAATGTGACCCTTTTTCTTAGTTGCTCTTGTACGATTAAAGAAACAAAAGCTCTTATATGACTACTCATTTTCTGAAAATCTGCTTGATTTAACTATTGATCAATGCTGACTTAATTCATTTCTGCAAGGGCAACAATGAGACACTAACTAGAAGTGTATTCAGTTTCTCAAAGGCTAAAGAAGCAAAATCAGCCAGAAGCTCTGCATCTAAATACTACTCTCAATCTCATGTGATGGCTAGGTCTGACTTAATTGTGAGGTCCCCATGGTTGAGTAGCCTTAGGCTAAGTTTAGGCTCAGAAGTGCAAAACACCTGAAAATGTCCCAGAAGGCAGTCTTTTGGATCAGGAGGCAGTGATGGGGTGTTTTTCTGCAATTATTTTTGTATTAGTTTGATTTTCATAGACACCCTGAATTAATTGCTGACAATTGATTTTAACCCACAAAACTAATTTTCCAACCCAGTCCTCTAAAATAAATATCCATGAACCTAACTAACCTCTTTAATAAGATAATATTGACAGCCAAAGAGTCAAAACAAGTATCATAAAATACAGTCTAGTTTAATAATTGATTTTCCATGAATAGTTATCTTTAAGACTCAGCATTTGATAGTCGGCTCCTCCACAGATTCCAGAAGAATTAAATTTCACGTCCAGGTATGATAAATTGGTCAGTGCCTCATAAATCAGTGTTGTTCAGGATCCTTACCTGATTTTCAATGTTTAGACTGAGTCGGCTTTCAATGCTAAGAAATGGGAGTCTTTCTCTACCCCCGAGTTCAAGTGTCACCATTGAGTACTCTCAATTATAATTAGCATAATCAGATACAAGATAAACTTGTTCTACTCTGATGAGCAATACATCCTTGTGCTAGCCACCAAGCACTATCCTTCTTCCTGCAACTGTATCAATCTTTATTCTTTACAAAAGTAAAATTTTTGGGGTGCCTTTAACTTTAGCTGTAATACCTAAGACAGTTATAGGTTGTCTCCAAATTCAATCAAAAAATTTACTAGTCTTGATTAGTTACAAGACCCAGTCCATGTACAAATATGTTTTTATAAGTTTTACAGAATTCATGAAGTTCAACACAGGGAGTACAAAAGAAAATGCTTGATAAAGTGCCCAT